TAGGGTTTAGGGTTTAGGGCCATCCCGGAGCAAAGGCTTAGGATTTGGGGTTCAGGGCCTAACTTCGGGTTGATCCAGGGCTTAAATGATAGGGTAGCAACAGGTTTTGCACCTTAGGGTGGTGAATTTAGGGTTGAAAATCGGGTGGTAACCGGGTTAGGCCTTCGGACATCATGTTTTTGGGCGAGGAGACGTGCAACTCCTCTGATTGCCAGCAGACAAAACTGAACACGATCCCTCACATCAGCCACCGTTGCCGTGGGAAATTAAGAGCCGAGGGTTTGGGAACCATGAGCTTGGAGATTAGGGCCCAATATAGTTACCTATATCATTACCAATACTTTTTTTTTTTGGGGNNGGGGGTGGGTCCTTATTATAAGTATATTACAATGGGCCCCAAAAGCCGGGAGGCTTCCGAAAATCACGGTTTGGAACCCGATTGAGGGTGCCGGTTAAGGACCAATACCGATCCAACCCCAACCGAAGACACACCATGAAGCGAGCCTGCAACCGGCTTGTGAGGTTCATGGAATCGCCGATGCAGCCAAACCTTAGGCAACAGGAGCTTCAAGGATCAGTTCATCGACAATCTCCTTGCAAAGTGTTGACATTGCGGCTGGGTTTTAGTCCATAGAAAGTTTCTCCCTCTCGCATGGCTAGGATCAATGGCTACAACAGAGGTCAGAAAGGGAATAGATGGATAGCATGCTCTCTTCACGCTCTGTACACGTACATGTCAGTCAGAAGGTTTAGGGTGTCTGGGGCCCAGTCGGGCTGTGTGGATGTCATGGGCAGGATGGGGTCAGTTTGAGGTCGGCTTGTCACAGGCTTGCCGAGCTTGTCCAAGGGTTCGTCCCTTTTGAATTCCGAAGGTTTTTCTCGGTCCCAATATAGTACGGCACCCTTAAACAAAGGACCCCCAAAAGGGACGCTATTTAGAGAGCTACCCTTTATGAATCAAGGTTCTTCCTGGTGTAAGGTTCAGAATAGGACTTCAAGGCGTACTTGTGGGGTTGAGTGTAAAGGGACTAGATTTTAACACACTCCGCGCTTGCGAGTGGCATCCTTGCGTCCCGCACTAAGGCACCCCCTTATTTTCGGGAACTCCCCAAGGGGCAGGCCCCTGTGGTAACGTCAGGTGCTTCCAACAAGAGAGCAGTTTGTCACTCGGGCCCTAAACCCTAGCCTAAACCCTAAACCCTACCCGGCCCTACCGTCAGGTCAAGAAGCCCCCCAGCACACCTCTGGTTGGGCAACAACAGGGAGCTCGTGTCCTGCACTAACCACAGACTTCCCTAAAATTGAAGACTCCAGCCCATCCTTCGCTTGGAGCTCCCAAAATCCGTTGCTTTCAAGGCTTGGTCAAACCCTAGGCCCAAAGCCGTAGAAGTCCCAAGCCTTGCGCAGCCCGAGTCACTTCATCTTTGTGTGGCTGCCGATGTTGCCACACAGGACTTCCCCTGTGTGGATGCCGACGCTGAGCTGCAACGAGCTTTCTGAAAGGCCTGGCTTTTCATGATGCCCATTGTGTGACTGCTCTCGGGTTGTGAGTTCGGGGCTTTGGTTCAGAAGCTGCCGGACGAATCACCACGGCCAGTTAAGCAATGGAGGCATTTCAGGAAGTTGTATTCGCAGAAGCTTGCGGCAACAAGAGCTGACAAGAACCCAGCGCAATTTCGAGGCCGTGGGATCTTTGCCACATTTAGCGACAAAAAAAGCAACAAGGAACACCTGTCGAACCCGGCGGAAAACGTTCAGTGATGCACGGTGCTGCACTGTTGCAATGGCGCACAATTCTCGAGACGAGATCCCAATTCTGCAGCATAGTAGCATAGCGTACACTGAAGAGTAATTTGGAACCCCCAAGAGAACGCCAGTCCAACACATCTCCCCCCTCATCCCAAGCCGCCTAAGCTCTCCAAGTGATCTGCGATGTCGGCACGCAGCAATGTCATACCCTGCCCACAGGCAAGTTGGGGTGCTGCGGAGTGATACCCCTAAGGCACATCTGACGGGGCCCAGCTGCGGAGGCTGCTGGCTGCCAACATGCCGGTGATTGAATCACATCCGATGGCTTCTGCAAAAGCAAGAAACTTTTGGGTAAAAGAATGGCCCAACACTTGCACAAGGCTATCATTCTACATACTTTTGGGGTCCAGGTAGGCGCTTTCGCGGCTTCCACTGACATCATGAACCGAAGGCCTTTCGCTGTTGAAGGGCACATTCGCAGGCTTTCTTAGCATGGTCCTCGATGTCGCTGGAGGCCTGCGGGTCTCTAACCTACCGGCCGTTTCTGCTAACAGCATTAGCAACTAAGTTTTGTCAAGGAGCTGAAAACCGAAGCAGCCATAATCCGGGTATGCAGTGACACATGCCCAGTTTGTATTCAAGCACGGCAACTCAAAATATTTTCCTTAACCAGAACTCTTTTACTGGACCGGTGCGTCAGGGCACGGTAATGTTGGTTCACAGAGCAAACGACTTCAAAGCTCTTCAGCTCAGGTAGAAGAAGCATACGGTACTCCACTTTCTGGCTCTTGTGCAACCCTGACAACCCCTAACAAAAGGGATCCTTGATTCGGGGACATGTGCGAGATTCTGGGATTCTGCCGAGGCTCATTCCAGTAGACCAAGAGGCCGTCGTCCAGAATCTCTCCTTTTTGGCAGAAGGTTTTTTCGAAGCTCCACAAACTTGACTCTTGTAGGGATCCGTCAGAAGCCTTCAGGGTTTAGGGTTTAGGGTAAGCTTCGGGTAGGTCGAGGGTCTTCACTAAACAAAAACCCGTCGTAATGGTACGGGCCAGTACGGGTCATGACCAGTAGTAATGGCCGTAAACGACACAGTATGCAATGGAAGCCGCGGCTGAGTTCCAGGCTCACCGAACCACTTGCCACCCTAAAAGCCTTCAGTCGGGCATAGGGCATCCTGGAAACTCTGTCGACATAGTCGTAACCTCTATCATATAGTAGTCCCCACGCCCGGTCTTACCACCCTACTTCCCAAGTCCCGACCTTCTGCAAGAGTGTTCGGGTGGCGGGCAGGGCGAACAGACACAGGCATTCGTACAAGTGAGCTTTTCTCTGAGGCTGCCTGGCAGAACACTGCCAGGAGAATTGCGGAAAAAACGATGGAAACCCTCCGGGAGGAGCCGGGGCTGAATGCGCTGCATCCCTTCATCAGTCAGTCTCAAGGCGAGCAGAAAATTAGATCCAAAGACGCGTCGGATAGGATAGAATGGAACGGAAACGGAATGATTTGCAGGCAAAGGAATTAGATAGATTAGTTGGCCACTACCAGGCCACGACCTGTGCATTCTGCACTCGGTATAGAAGCTCAAATGGTGGTGGTGGTGGTGGTGGTGGTGGTGGTGGTGGTGGTGGTAGTAGTAGTAGTAGTAGTAGTAGTTTTTGTCACTCGCTTGGCACGCCAATGATAGTAGTAGTAGTAGTAGTAGTAGTTTTTTCTCAGGGCTCCTATCCTGGTTACCCCACGGCGCTACGATCCAGTAGTTGGGATTCGTGAAGGTTTGTGATCCCATCGTCGGCTGATGTTAGCACCATGCCCAACAAATTATGTTGATGAATATAGTGCCTTTAAAAAGAATTACCTATACTTTTTTGGTGGGTTCCTTTAAACCCCGGCTTCACCCTTTACCCTGTCGGACCCTAAACCCCACACCAAGGAAGTTTCTCAGACGAGTGGCCAATGGAACCGTCATTCTGTTCCACGATCGACGTCATGATGATATGGAACCTTCCGAGTTGCGAGTATGGCGTATTGGATGCACAGTTTCGAACACCTGCATACTACGCAGAGGTTCGGTGGAGAGAGGCCAAGTGAAGGTTGATTACACTGCCACCTTTTAGAAACATTCTGGGGAGCACCAGCAACTCTTTCGGCTGGGCTTCGGTGAGGCTCCATGGGGCAGAGGGTGTCTACGGGAATTGGGAGAATTCGGGGTGTGCAGGACTCACAAGCAAACGGTTTAGCACGCATGGGTTGTGGGGTATAGGGGTTCAGGGTGGACAGAAGCAAAGCTACCCACAGGCTATCAAGGTCAGAAGGGCAGCAACGTGAGGAACCTCCACTGCAGCCCCAAGAATCTTGAATTGATCCAGGCTCTTCATCAACCCTGCAAGTGAATCAAGCGCTAAACCCTCCGAAGACGACTTCCTGAACGCTGAACTGTGCAAAATCCTCCCCGTGCCTATCTTAACTTGGAGATTTCAATATACAAACGGCTCCCCCCAAAGCCCAAGTCCAAAAACTGGATCACCTCCGTGGCTGAACATCTAAAGACTAGGCTGTAGGGGTTAAGGGTTCGTATAAGGCTTCTGTCAGGGTTTCTTACCATAAGGGGTTTGGGGTTTTCGGCTTGCTGCCTCTTGATCACCTCGGCCACCTCCTCTTCGCTCAGCTTCAAACGGTTCAGGTCCCGGATCCCGGAGAACATGATTGTGACCTTGGAGTTTATCGGATTTCTTTGACATAGAGGGTCGTATGAAGGTTCTTTGAAGGCTGTACCTGTGATGGTGAGGGGTTTCTACAACAAAATGAGGGTCCCGTAACGGTTCTGTGAAGGTTTTAAGGCTTGGCAGATTAGGATTGATACTGTAGGTAGTTTAGGTGGCTAAGTAATTAGAACAGGATTTTGGTGTCTATTATACTATCGTTATAAAAAGGAACCCCCAAAATAGAATAGGTATAAGGCCCCTACATTAGGTGTTTTCGGGTTTAGACGTTTCACATTGCGGGTTGAAGGATTGGGTTTGTGATGGTCTGCGGCTTGGCGCTCAAGGTCCCGGATACACCAGCTCGGTGATTGTGTTGTCGTTTGAGTTTGGAGTCGTGGCATTAAGGTATCTCTTTTTTGATTGAGGGGCTCAGGGTTTGGGGTTGGGATGTGGGACCTAAGATTGTATCAAGTTTGCTTTAAACTCGTAATTAACCCTAAAGCCCAACACCGTGACTTACTGCCAGATCAGCTTTCTTCATTTCTTGGACCCGGCTCCCCATTTTACGGCTCCAGGTCTGGCTCCTCAGCTATTTTGTGGGTGATTCTAAGCCAAAGTAGCCTTTAGGGGTTTAGGGTTCGGGCTTTAGGCTTGTGGTTACCCCTACAAGAGTCTGTCACTCTTGCAACATGGGACACCCGCTACCCCCAAACCATACGGGTAGTTGTCAAAATTAGGGTCCCTTTTGGGGTACCCTAAATATTAGGTGCCGTATTATAATAAGGACCCAAAAAGGGGCCCTAATTTTGACAACCGCCCATACCTGAGCCGAACTTCCCAGCCGAGGCTGCGGCCACCCGATGCTTTACATGGAGTCGCGTTGCTCCACACTCTCCATACACGATGCGGTGCACCACTGCCTTTGAACCACCGGGATTTCGGAAGCTTCGCTAGACCTGGAGGTTGAAGGTTGAGGGGTTTAGGGTGAACCTGCTGTGAGGACTGTCGGGGCGAGGAAACATGCGATCTCTGTGAGCGTGTACATATATATATATATATAACTATGTATGTACACATCCCTACCTACCGGCCTACCTACCTATCCATCTATCTATCTGCCTACCTA